GGTCCTAATCCAGGCACTTGTCATCTCCCGTCTGGATTACTGCAACTCGCTGTTGGCTGGGCTCCCTGCCTGTGTCATTAAACCCCTACAACTCAGCCAGAACGCTGCAGCCCTTCTGGTGTTCAACCTTCCCAAGTTCTCTCACGTCACACGGCTCCTCCGCACACTCCACTGGCTTCCAGTTGAAGCTCGCGTCTGCTACAAGACCATGGTGCTTGCCTACGGAGCTGTGAGGGGAACGGCACCTCCTTACCTTCAGGCTCTGATCAGTCCCTACACCCAAACGAGGGCATTGCGTTCTTCCACCTCTGGCCTGCTGGTCCCCCTACCTCTGCGGAAGCACAGTTCCCGCTCAGCCCAGTCAAAACTGTTCGCCGCCAGGACACTGATCAACTTCCGGAGACACTTGAAACCCTACCTCTTTAAGGAATACCTGGGATAGTATAAAAGTAATCCTTCTACCCCCACCCCACCCCCACATAATAATAATAATAATACAATAAATAAAAATACGAGGATAAAATTATAAATATTTTTAGAAAATAGTATAAAGACACAAAAAATAATAGGGAAAAATAATAAAAAAATACAACAAATATATATATAAAACAAATGAAAATGTAAAATATACTCTAAAAATTAAGAATAAAAAAATTAGGAAAATATATATTTTTTAAATGTAAAGTGGTTGTCCCACTGGCTATCATAAGGTGAACGCACCAATTTGTAAGTCGCTCTGGATAAGAGTGTCTGCTAAATGACGTAAATGTAAATATGACACCTCCACCTTCGGGCTCTAATAAACTGCAGCTATCGACGGTCGACCAATCGCGTTCACGTTATCATGCGGCGTCACGTAGATGCTAAGCTAATCACAACACAATACCTTTTTTAATCAGGGTATACGTCGAGAAACCTGCTTATTTTCCTCTAAAGTACGTAATGTCACAATTCCAAAGCTATACGATATTACAGAGAACAAGTTAATTATCTAACACCTCGGAAAATATTTAATGTTGTACTTCATGTTGACGAAATTCATGCTAATGTTGGGTTTTTGAGCTAGCGCCCAATTGACTCAAATTCACTCCCTGAAGGACAGCTCTCCTTGTCCCAGAATCACGACGCATGGGCAATGTACACAATGGGCGTTAATATGATTGCAATTGAGTTTCTCATCTCCTCAAAAGTATCTCTGCTGCCACTACTGCTTTTTGAGCTCAAAACAACGTTTTTCTGCAGATAAATTACAAAATAATTATCTAAAGAGGGTGAATCCTCACTGCAGAAACAATAAATAGTGCGGAGAGCGCATCAATCTGGTCAATGTTGATTTTGTCAGTGAATAAACAAAGTTGATTTTTTTGCAGACCATCTAATAATTTGGACAGGTACACATTTATTTGAACGCGCATTTCACGATCTGACATAATGATCGTCTACCTTTTGGGCTTTACATTGGATATTTGATTTTTTTTTTCCATGGTTCTAGGTCGATTTCTAGTTAAATAAAGGTTAAATAAAATAAAAATATATACACATTTAGGAGCCAAATGAGCCTGCTCACCGCAAAGACTCGGAATGCCCATCACTAGTCGGGTCTGGAGCGAAGCGTCATTATCGTGCACTGTCATCATCCTGGATGGATCCAAAGATGTTCTATCTGTGGTGGATCTATCAGAGGTCGCATCCCCTGCTCAGACGTTGCACGCTTCAACCAATGGTGGCGTGCCACATCATCAACTGATTGCTAGAACATATGACATGCATGGTTAGCTGATACATAAAAATACCTATCCAGGCGTTGTAAGATCAGGCATGTTTCAAGTTTTAATGTCACATGCACAAGTACAGCGCCTTTCTTGCGAACTCAAAACGCAACAATGCCATAATCAATAAAAATTTATTACTAGAAAAAAACACGAAGAATAAGAAAAAGTAAGTAAGAACAGAAAATATTTTAAAAATCAGTTCCAATTTGAAATGTACATGTGCAGGGATACTGCAGTGATGGCGGTAGATATGTATAGGGGTAAGGGGACTAGGCAACAGGATGGTGTGCGGGTGTGTAGAGTCAGTATAAATGTATGTGTATATTATGTGTGAGTTAGCAAATGATGGAGTGACAGTGTGTGTAAGTGTGTAGGGCCTTATGAGTGTGCATAGAGACAGTGCAAATATTGAAATAAAAGTTCAATAACGATACAAGGTAAACTCGGTCCGTGTAGCTATTTTGTTAGCTATTTATCAGTCGTATTGCTTGGGGACAGATAGCTGTTAAAGAGCCTGTTGGTGTCAGACTTGATGCACCGGTACCTCTTGCCGTGCGGCAGCACAGAAAATATTATATGGCTTGGGTGGTTGGGGTCTTTGACGATTTTCCGGGCCTTCTTTTCACACCACCTGATATAGAGGTCCTGGATGACAGCGAGCTCGGCCCCAGTGATGTACTGGGCTGTCCTGATATAGAGGTCCTGGATGACAGGGAGCTCGGCCCCAGTGATGTACTGGGCTGTCCTGATATAGAGGTCCTGGATGGCAGGGAGCTCGGCCCCAGTAATGTACTGGGCTGTCCGCACAACCCTCTGTAGCACCATGCGATCGAGGGCGGTGCTATTGTCATACCAAGCAGTGATGCAGCCAGTCAAATGCTCACAATGGTACAGCTGTAGAACCTTTTCAGGATTTTAGGGCCCATGCCAAACTTTCCTCCTGTGTCAGCAATGCCTGGGCAGAGGAACGTGCACAGAGAGACATAATCACACTTGAAAACATAACATTGCAGACAGTTGAATGTTTGGGTGGGATGCTTGATAAACATTGATTCATTAACTGCAATGCTTGAAATCTGGTTGAGAAAAAGTGCAAATGTTCTACCAATATGAGTGTGCCTTCTACAAAGCATTGATAAGACTATTACATTTTCATTGCATAGTTGATATCACTTTCAGATTGCTTTCCACTGAGGATAATTTTTTTATTTTCTCAGTAGAACAATTTAAGAGTTTTGGAGATTTACTAGACAGTCTGGTGGATTGCTGTCATGGCCACTTCTCAAATATCTTTAAATAAAAAATATAAATTATTTGTATTGGTGTTAATTGTGAGTTTGGCTAAAAGTCCCAAATTAATTGATCGCCCACATGAAACAATGTGTTTATGTAAGAAGCATTATTTGAGAATTTGTAAAGCTGTCACATAAGAATTACATGTTTATATTTTTTTATTTAAAGATTTTGAGAAGTGGCCATGACTGACTCATATGTGTAGTTTGCTCACTCTGCCCCTGTGGAAATCTCCTTCCTCACGCTTCTCTAACATCTCTGCCCCTGTGGAAATCTCCTTCCTCACGCTTCTCTAACATCTCTGCCCCTGTGGAAGTCTCCTTCCTCACGCTTCTCTAACATCTCTGCCCCTGTGGAAGCCTCCTTCCTCACGCTTCTCTAACATCTCTGCCCCTGTGGAATTCTCCTTCCTCACGCTTCTCTAACATCTCTGCCCCTGTGGAAGTCTCCTTCCTCACGCTTCTCTAACATCTCTGCCCCTGTGGAAGTCTCCTTCCTCACGCTTCTCTAACATCTCTGCCCCTGTGGAAGTCTCCTTCCTCACGCTTCTCTAACATCTCTGCCCCTGTGGAAGTCTCCTTCCTCACGCTTCTCTAACATCTCTGCCCCTGTGGAAGTCTCCTTCCTCACGCTTCTCTAACATCTCTGCCCCTGTGGAAGCCTCCTTCCTCACGCTTCTCTAACATCTCTGCCCCTGTGGAATTCTCCTTCCTCATGCTTCTCTAACATCTCTGCCCCTGTGGAAATCTCCTTCCTCACGCTTCTCTAACATCTCTGCCCCTGTGGAAGTCTCCTTCCTCATGCTTCTCTAACATCTCTGCCCCTGTGGAAGTCTCCTTCCTCACGCTTCTCTAACATCTCTGCCCCTGTGGAAGTCTCCTTCCTCACGCTTCTCTAACATCTCTGCCCCTGTGGAAGTCTCCTTCCTCACGCTTCTCTAACATCTCTGCCCCTGTGGAAGTCTCCTTCCTCACGCTTCTCTAACATCTCTGCCCCTGTGGAAGTCTCCTTCCTCACGCTTCTCTAACATCTCTGCCCCTGTGGAAGTCTCCTTCCTCACGCTTCTCTAACATCTCTGCCCCTGTGGAAATCTCCTTCCTCACGCTTCTCTAACATCTCTGCCCCTGTGGAAGTCTCCTTCCTCACGCTTCTCTAACATCTCTGCCCCTGTGGAAGTCTCCTTCCTCACGCTTCTCTAACATATAGGGTCACAAATTCCAAACAGTCCCTTTACAAGTTATAATGTTGAATAAACGTAATTTGAACTTTACCTGTTTTCCACTGATTTCATCCTTATGTGAGTGGAAATTTGAGACACAATATCTACAGTAAAGTGTTATTAACCCGACTTTCAGAACGCTGGTCTGTATATGGTGCAGGCGGTTTGTATTTCTGGTTTGTATTTTCAATCTACTGATGCATGCAAAGTAAACACTTGCACAACATATAAACAATAGCCAACCGAACGACAGATTAGCTATTATATTATCGGGTGATGTGCAGTAAGATTGCAAAAATCATGTTTAGGCGATTGTTACATTAGGCGATTGTTTACATAGTGTGCATCACATGCGAATGCATCAGGAGATTGAAAATACAAGCTGACATATACCTACCGGCGCTCTAAAAATTCGGGTAAATAATACTTTACTTCAGATATATTGTATCTAATTTAGATCCACACAAGTACCAACCGCACAGACAACCTGTAGAGTACGTTCAAATATAATTGAATTCAACATTCTGGCTTGAGTGGAAACTTTCCATATTTGTGGAGTGCATTGTGTCAGACTGTGTAACCAATAATCGGTAGCACAGTCATAGTCATGCTCACTCAGCTCTCTACTGCCCCTTAGAGACATATATAAAAAATGCCGTTGACTCATACAGGTTGGTTGATTCCAGGTCGGGACATCACCTGACAGGAAGATGTGTTAAAGGTGTGGGGAAAACTGATACCTGACCTACACACAGTGGCAGCCAGACGGGAGTTTTGTGAAGTTATTTAAAGATTAGCCTAATTCAACACCTGTGTACTTGGAATTTACCAAATTCTCTTCAAACAAGGTAGCCTAATGATATTCACTTTCTGTTCAAATATTGTATCTTCACCTTGCTCACCAAAAGCTTCTAAATGTAATTCTGCTTCAATGCCTTTGCTGTAGCCTACATACTCGCATGGAGGAAATGACTCTTTTTGAGTCTGCTGCAGTATATATGTCACTTTTCCTCAGGTGTGACTGTTTTAGAGACAATTCTTGAATTCTCAGACTTATATCTAACTTTAATCAGGGTCATGTTGGGTGTGTTTATTTTATTTGGTAAACACTTCATCTGGACTTTTCCTCATTTCTAGAGCACCCCTCCCCCATCTTGGAACATAGATCACAGTGGGACTCTAGTTTGATGAATCCAACCGTACAAAACAGCCTGGGCCCGGTTTCCCCAAAACATCTTAATTCTAAGTTCATCGTTAGATCCTTCGTAGGAGCATCTTTAAATCTCAGAGCTGTTTCCCAAAACCATCTCTATTAACGTTGCACATGACGCCTGCCTAAGACCACTCGAAGAACAGCAAAGTGCGTCATTAGATTCTTTTTTGCCCACCCGCCTCACAATATGCTTCAAATTAAAACCGAGATGACTGGATTAAAATATAAATAGCCTACAGTAGTCTATAGGCCTATTTCAATCATATTGAAATACATTACAGGTTCAATCAATTGAGTTCTATTTTGATACTTGTATGCTACTTGTCTGTAATTTGTCTCAATATATTTCATGATGTGTAACCTAATTTGCGCAATGATGTGCCAAATACGTGCAGCCATAGGTGATATCTTTATAGGAGCAGTGGCGTATATTCATGGATGCCAAGGGAAGCCAGGCTTCCCCCAAAAATGTACAAAGAAAAAATATAGATATTTTATGTATCTTTCTTCTGTGTTTCATAATTTTCCATAATTTTTAGGAGCTGATCCATCATCAGTATTGTGAATAATTCTAATGTTAAAGCTGCAATTTGAAACTTTTTGTGCCCCGACAAATTCACCTAGAAATATTAGTTAGATGTAATTTTCATTTAACGCAAGTCTAAGACGCAATAGATATGCCTTGTGCGCTATTTCTATGCTTCTCGTTACGTTTTTTTGTGCACCAGTTGAAAATACAATATTTTTGGTTATTGAAAATATATTTCACAGCGGTTTAGATGGTACAATGATTCTCCACACTCTACATTGCTTGTTTTGTCAACAAACTGAAATTAGGCGAACTATTGGAATTTTAGCAACAAGGATATGGCGGAGCATTGGTAAGCCTAAATACCATTGCTATGGGAAACCGGGCCCTGGAGTGGAATTATAAATAAATAGGTCATTTAGCAGACGCTCTTATCCAGAGCGACTTACAGGAGCAATTTAGGGTTAAGTGCCTTGCTCAAGGGCACATCGACAGATTTTTCACCTGGTCGGCTCGGGGATTAGAACCAGCGACCTTTCGGTTACTGGCACAACGCTCTTAGCCACAAAGCTACCTGCCGCGAAATTATACCAGCAGTACCAAGGTACAATTCGTTTTATATTGGATATTTGGTTTTCTCTCTTCAATAGCTATTGAACCAAGCATGCCATGACTATGAAGATGGGCCTCCTGTAGCTCAGTTGGTAGAGCATGGCGCTTGCAACGCCAGGGTTGTGGGTTCGATTCCCACGGGGGGCCAGTATGAAAAATGTATGCACTCACTAACTGTAAGTTGCTCTGGATAAGAGCGTCTGCTAAATTACTAAAATGTAAAATGTATATTCTGAATCGGGTGGATGGAGAAAAATCCACTTTTTTATAATAAGATTTCAGATTTCAATCTTCAATAGCTTTTACACAAAGTGTTCCATGACTATGATTTAGATTGAAAGCCCCCCCCCCCCCCAAAAAAAACAAAAAAAACAATCTTCAATAGCTCTTGCTATGAACATTTTTGTCCCTCCTCCCCTGATTCAGAATACATAATTTTCAGTCATGGCATGCTTTGTGTAAAGCAGCGATTCCCAAACTCGACCCACAGGACCCCAAAGGGTGCACATTTTGGTTTTTGCCTTAACATTACACAGCTGATTTAAAATGGTCAAAGCCTGATTCGTTTATTATTCGAATCTGCTGTGTAGTGCTAGGGCAAAAACCCAAATGTTCACCCCTTGGGGTCCCAATGACTGAGTTTGGGAAACCCTGGTGTTATGGCTATTGAAGATAGAAATGTCTTTTTTTTATTTAAAATGAAAGCTGTGGATGTTTGTCCATCCGCGACTGATTCAAAATATATAATTGTCAGAGTCATGGAACACTTTGTGTAAGAGCTATTGAAGACTGAAATCCGAAATCTTACAGTGAGGGGAAAAAAGTATTTGATCCCCTGCTGATTTTGTACGTTTGCCCACTGACAAAGACATGATCAGTCTATAATTTTAATGGTAGGTTTATTTGAACAGTGAGAGACAGAATAACAACAAAAAACGCATGTCAAAAATGTTATAAATTGATTTGCATTTTAATGAGGGAAATCTTAGAGCAGTCATCCCTCACGGTCTCTGTGCTGTCCCCTACTGATGGGTCATCCTATCCGAATGCACTGTTTTTTCCCTCTCACCTGTATTTGGGGAATTCTCCCATTATTTTCTCTGTCAGGTTGGATGGGGAGTGTTGCTTCACAGATATTTTCAGGTCTCTCCAGAGATGTTTGATCGGGTTCAAGTCCGGGCTCTGGCTGGCTCACTCAAGGACATTCAGAGACTTGTCCCGAAGCCACTCCTGCGTTGTCTTGGCTGTGTGCTTAGGGTCGTTGTCCTGTTGGAAGGTGAACCTTCGCCCCAGCCTGAGGTCCTGAGTGCTCTGGAGCAGGTTTTCATCAAGGATCTCTCTGTACTTTGCTCCGTTCATCTTTGCCTCGATCCTGACTAGTCTCCCAGTCCCTGCCGCTGAAAAACATCCCCACAGCATGATGCTGCCACCACCATGCTTCACCGTAGGGATGGTGTCAGGTTTCCTCCAGATGTGGCGTTCAGGCCAAAGAGTTCAATCTTGGTTTCATCAGAACAGAGAATCTTGTTTCACATGGTCTTGAGTCTTTAGGTGCCTTTTGGCAAACTCCAAGTGGGCTGTCATGTGCCTTTTTACTGAGGAGTGGCTTCCATCTGGCCACTCTACCATAAAGGCCTGATTGGTGGAGTGCTGCAGAGATGGTTGTCCTTCTGGAAGGTTCTCCCATCTCCACAGAGGAACTCTGGAGCTCTGTCAGAGTGACCATCGGGTTCTTGGTCACCTCCCTGACCAAGGCCCTTCTGCCCCGATTGCTCAGTTTAGGCGGGCGGCCAGCTCTAGGAAGAGTCTTGGTGGTTCCATACTTCTTCCATTTAAGAATGATGGAGGCCACTGTGTTCTTGCAGAAATGTTTTGGTACCCTTCCCCAGATCTGTGCCTCGACACAATCCTGTCTCGGAGCTCTATGGACAAATCCTTCAACCTCATGGCTTGGTTTTTGCTCTGACATGCACTGTCAACTGTGGGACCTTATCTAGACAGGTGTGCCTTTCCAAATTATGTCCAATCAATTGAATTTACCACAGGTGGACTCCAATAAACTTGTAGAATCATCTCAAGGATGATCAATGGAAACAGGATGCACTTGAGCTCAATTTGGAGTCTCATAGCAAAGGGTCTGAATACTTATGTAAATAAGGTATTTCTGTCACTTTTTAATACATTTGCAAAAATGTCTAAACCCGTTTTCGCTTTGTCATTATGGGGTATTGTGTGTAGATTGGGGGGGAATCATCCTTTTTTTTTTGGAATAAGGCTGTAATGTAACAATGTGGAAAAGGGAAGGGGTCTGAATACTTTCCGAATGCACTGTATAGTGTATTGTTCAGTGTAGTAAAAACAAAAGGAACAATGAATATGTGCATGACCAGTAATCTCACATCTGTTTTTTCCATTCACAGAAAGCATCTCAGTCATGAGTTGCCACTCTCCTCTCCTCCTCCTTCTCCTTGGTATTTTTGGGCCATGTTCAGCCTTCAAGATCTGTGCCTTCAATGTCCAGAACTTCGACGAGGCCAAATCTGCCAACTTCAGGGTGATGCACACTCTGACCAGGGTGAGACTGCCTCGTCTTTTCACAATCATACAGTAGCTTTTCTTGACGAGTGGCCAAGGAGGGAACTAAACTTAAACATTTTAACTATAGTTGCATACTGTTGGGTAAATCAGTCTCAATTACATGTATTATTATTACAATAATAATCATCATCATCATCCAGGTATCTTTCCATGATTGTTAGACATTCTTGTTCTGACCCGGTTTGTTGATTGTCCACAGATTGTGTCTCGCTGTGACATCTGTGTCCTTCAGGAGGTTAAAGACACACGGGGCAATGCAATTAAAACTTTGGTGGGAACACTCAACAGGTACAGTACTAGGTACAGTTGCATCTAGATACTGTTACCATAGAAATAAAATCCATTTGATTCTATGAATGTAACAAGTATCTAATACTCTACCTCAGGCGTATTCCAATCTTACACTACGAGGTCCGGAGCCTTATGGTTTTCTGTTCTTCCTGATAACTAATTGCACCCACCTGGTGTCCCAGGTCTAAAACAGTCCCTGGTGGGGTGGGGATTATTGTTTCCTGTAAAGTGTATTGAGGCTTTTGTTAAATGCACTTTAAATAAATTGTGATTTTGATTATAAAGAAAATAATGTATTTATGATAGTCTTTGTTTCACTTAATTTATGGACAGACCCCTTTTGTTAATTCCTTCTTAGATATGATAACCATCACTATAAATATGTTGCCAGTGGAGGTCTGGGGCGAACACCTGAAGACCAGGAGCAGTATGTCTATCTGTACAGGTAAGGGATACATTATTTTACATGTATTTCAGAGCTCTTACTTCACCTTCATTTATAAATGCTATTCTCATGACATAAGCTTGCATTCATTTGAGAAATCCTAAATATGCCGCCTCCCCTGTCCTACCCTTTTGAATCTCGGCCCTACATGCTAGTTAAACTGTATGTCACCCTGCTTGACTTTAAGCCCAAGTGAATGGTGCTATAACTAACCGCCTCCACAGGAATGAAACCGTAGAGTTGACAGATCAGTACCAGTACGCTGACAAAAAGGAGGGGGGTGTGGATGCTTTCTCAAGAGACCCCTTTGTTGTTAGATTTCAAGCCAAGGAAACAGGTTGGTTCTTTAAGTTCATGAGAATAAAGAAATTCAATGTGTACTGTACTGTTTGGATAACTCCAATGATCTTCCTCTGAGCAGTGATTGGAGACTTTGCTCTGATCCCGTTGCACACTGCGGCCTCTGACGCAATCAAGGAGATTGACAAGCTCTATGATGTCTTTGAGGAAATCAAAATGAAGTGGAATACTGAGGTGAGGCATTTTTCTTCCATAAAGTGTGTCAGTAAGATGAATGCAGTTACTGTTTATCTGTCATGCTACATGATTCCCATATCTAACTTCTGGAACATACTCCTCTCACCAATGTAATGTCACTCTGTCCCATAGAACGTGATGTTCCTTGGAGCCTTCAATGCTGGTTGTGGCCACATGACAAGGCAGGACAAGGCGGACATCCGACTTTTCTCAAAACCGGGATTTTTCTGGCTGATCAGGGACCAGGCGGACACCATTGTTGGGGATACCACCAGCTGTGCCTATGACAGGTGGGTGGACATTCGAAAATAAGCTACACTGAAATGATACATTGTTTGAATGAGGGCATTTTGATTGTAGACTATCTGTGTTGATGGATCCAATAACATGATATTACTCTTCAGCTCTATTTACTTGACACTTTTGTTTTTCTTAGGATTGTGGTACATGGACAGCCCTTCCTGAAGGCCATCAAACCTTATTCAGCTCAGGTCTTCAACATTGCTAATGAGTATAAACTCTCAATGGGAAGGGTAATACTTCCTTTTCTCTTTACAAACAATATTTTTGTTTAGTCTTTCAAACCCCTATCCATTAATTTTTTTTAAACAAAAAAACAGGAGAAGATGTAACATCCCAGACATGCTAAAGTCACCTGTTTTATGTCAGTTTCCTGTGTCATAGATATCATGACACAGAATAAACTTGAGTTCTTAATTTCAGGTTCTGGAAGTGAGTGACCACTTCCCTATTGAGGTGGAGCTGAAGACGAAATCGTCAGGGCAGCTTCAAGCTCCGGTTCAGCCTCTCCTGCTAATCGCTCTCTCCGTCATCACCTCCGTCCTGCACATCTTACCTTCAACCAGTATGGTGTGAGGAGGACTGATTTGTCTTCTCAGGGGTATGGCTCATAGAAATAGAGGATCATAGAAATAGCATTCATTCTAATATAATGGTATAGACATCTAAAACTTCCACGAGCAGCTAGTTCACTCGTGCAATGGTTTCTCAAACCTATCTCAGGGGACCCCTAGACGCGTCACTATTTAGTTGCAGCTCTGAACTAGCTCACCGGATATATCTAATCAATATCTTGATGATTAGTTGCTAAGGTGAATCAGGTATGCTAGCTCTGGAATAGACCAAATACATGGAACTGCTGGGGGTCCCTGAGGAGAGGTCTGAGAAGGAATATACCAAATACATGGAACTGCTGGGGGTCCCTGAGGAGAGGTCTGAGAAACACTGTTCTAATAAACAGTGATTCCATCTTTGACTGGTCCCAATGAGATTGCATGCAGATTGTAGATGTTTAGAGACAGCAACATTATCACTACACAAGTTGACAGCATAATGTCCCTCACCTCTTTCAATTAATATCTGGATTTGCTCTGGTGTTGGATCACTGATCCCAATTTGCTCTGCTCAGACATGTGGTTTCAGGTATTTGGCACACAATATCTTGAATGGAAGGCTACAGCTTCCTGAAGCCACCACTTCTGACAATCGTCTTTGCTTTTAATAACAAATCTATTTTGTAAATTAATGGTTGTGATATTTCAAATTCAATAAGGTTTTTAAAACATTCTATGATAATGTGATGTGGTTTTAACATTGTCACTGTTTTAAATGTCCAATGCATGTATTGTACACAGTATTTGAATTAAACTAATTGGATTTTAAAACGTAGGACACCTTTTTGTTGTGGGTTTGAGAAGGATCTGGTTTCTCAAATGACTGCCTCGCCTGGTTCACCAACTATTTAGTTCAATGTGTCAAATCGGAGGGCCTGTTGTCTGGACCTATGGCAGTCTATGGGGGTGCCACAGGGTTCAATTCTTTGGCCGACTCTTCTCCGTGTATATCAATGATGTCGCTCTTGCTGCTGGTGACTCAGATCCACCTCTATGCAGACGACACCATTTTGTATACATCTGGCCCTTCATTGGACACTGTGTTAACAAACCTCCAAACGAGCTTCAATGCCATACAACACTCATTCAGTAGCCTCCAACTGCTCTTAAACACTAGTAAACAGTGGCGGCTCCTGAAAAAATTCTCAGGAGGGGCAATTTTTCTGATGATTTAGGTGACCTACACACATTTTTTAAAAGATATGTCCAGCAACAACATGAAGACAGGGGCAGCATATAAGTCAATACCAGAAGCATTTATTGACTGATCTCAAAAGTGTTGGCTTACAAAAGCAAAATAAGTTATCACAGTAAAAATAATCAAGGGTGTTCTTTCACATTCCTCAACACTGCATAAACAATATGTATGGCTTTGTAAAAATGAACAACCATATTCTGGCCAATTGTATAGATTTGTAAATATGAACAACCATATTCTGGCCAATTGTATAGATTTGTAAAAATGAACATGAACAGATTTTTTATTTTTTTGAATGGCAGTACCTTTCAAACATGTCTGCTTGCAGTAAGGTAGCACTCACAAGGTGGCCAGAGAAAGAGAACCTTTCTTTGGTGTGATCCAGGATGGTGTTGCAGACCTCTTCAGACAGCCTCTGCTTCTCCTCTTCTCTCAAAGCTGTTCTGGGTCTTTTGGCTCCTGTTGCTTCTTGCAGCTGCTGTTGATAGGAGTCCCTGAAGGCAAACAGACCAATGTGTTTGTTGGCTTTGTACAGTATTGTTGTCTATGTGATGCACAGGTATATGCAATGTATCCATGTATAGTACAAATACTTCAGTTCCACTTAAAATGGGCAGGGATGCATAAAGTCTTTAGTGTTTAAGTTAGCCTTTGTGTCTCACATAGCCTGGATGTTCAGCACAGTATACAGTGGTGCTCATAAGCTTATGATCCCATGCTAAAGTTGACTAAAAAGAGGAATAAAAAAGAAAATAAAATTGGTGTCCTTAAAGGTTGGATTTTCCAACTTTTTTAATTAAGTCATTAAGATCAATTTCCAAAAGATGATTTTTTTATTTTTTTATTCCTCTTTTTAGTCAGCTTTAGAATGTGTTCATACACTTATGAGCACCACTGTACAGTACACATAGTATATAAAATAAGATAGATTACACCACTGGCCATATATAATGACAATAATGTAATTTCAAACACAAATGCAGTCTCCTTTCATGCATACATTTTCAAATAAAGCTCTGCTTTGAGAAAGATCGAATGATATTGTTTAATCTTTATCTTACCTTATGGCCTGCACACTGCTTGCGAAGCTGTCGAGGGCACGTTTGATAAAGACAGCATCGATGTCCTTATTCTGTAGCTTCTGGTACGGTGGGCTGGTCAAATGAACCCAATGAACCCGTCCGGATGGCTTCAAAACATTCTATGAGGTCGTCTCGATTCTCGTAGACAGTGTTCACGACTCTGCTGTTGCTAACCTCATCGTTGTGGCGGCGGACAGCTAGCCTGTATCCCTCATCCAGTTGAGTGGCAATATTCACTCTCACCAAAGCAGACAATCTCAAACAGCTATCAATGTGGGTCTTTGACAGCTCATTTTTCTTAATCTTTTCTGAAAGATGGTGCATGTCGGTTACACCAGTCGCTGTCCAAGCGTTGCTGTCTGCCGTTCATGGTTACGTTACGTTACGTATGACGAAAGCGCGTAAGTGCAAGCCCTCAGACACCCATAGAGAATGTATTGAAAGCTCAGAAATTTGAAAAAAAAATTTTTTACATTAGAGGCTATGAGAGACTTCTGGGCGATTTTCAACCTGACTGAAATCGCCCCAAAACGGGCGGGGACATTTGAAGCACGACTTTAGCCTGATTGGACATTTAGTGGCTGGCAGATCAGACGTGAACACTGAACTACTGTTGCCATGATATAATTGATTAGAAAAAAAATCCCTTCCTTTTCCCGTTTGGCAGTGCGTCGCCCATATCGCCCTATTGAACACACCGCCCATGCTAGTAAAACTAAATACATGCGCTTCAATCGAACGCTGCTGGCACCCACCCACCCGACTAGAATCACTACTCTCGACGGGTCTGACCTAGAGTATGTGGACAACTACAAATACCTAGGTGTCTGGTTAGACTGTAAACTCTCCTTCCAGACTCACATTAAGAATCTCCAATCCAAAGTTAAATCTAGAATCGGCTTCCTATTTCGCAAAACAAAGCCTCCTTCACTCATGCTGCCAAACATGCCCTCGTAAAACGGACTATCCTACCGAACCTTGACTTCGGCGATGTCATTTACAAAATAGCCTCCGACACTCTACTCAGCAAATTGGATGTAGTCTATCACAGTGCCATCTGTTTTGTCACCAAAGCCCCATATACTACCCACCACTGTGACCTGTACGCTCTTGTTGGCTGGTCCTCACTACATATTCGTCGCCAAACCCACTGGCTCCAGGCCATCTATAAATCACTGCTAGGCAAATCCCTGCCTTATCTTAGCTCATTGGTCACCATAGCAATACCCACCCGTAGTCTGCGCTCCAGCAGGTATATCTCACTGGTCATCCCCAAAGCCAACACCTCCTTTGGCCGCCATTCCTTCCAGTTCTCTGCTGCCAATGACTGGAACGAATTGCAAAAATCTCTGAAGCTGGAGTCTCTTATCTCCCTCACTAACTTTAAGCATCAGTTGTCAGAGCACCTTACCGATCACTGCACCTGTACACAGCCCATCTGTAATTAGCCCACCCAACTACCTCATCCCCATATTGTTATTTATTTTGCTCATTTGCACCCCAGTATCAATATTTGCACATCATCTCTTGCACATCTATCATTCCAGTGTTAATACTAATTGTAATTTTTTTTGCACTATAGCCTATTTATTGCCTTACCTCCATAACTTGCTACATTTGCACACACTGTATATATATTTTCTGTGGTATTTTTGACTTTATGTTTTGTTTTACCCCATATGTAACTCTGTTGTTTTTATCGCAATGCTTTGCTTTATCTTGGCCAGTTCGCAGTTGTAAATGAGAACTTGTTCTCAACTGGTTTACCTGGTGAAATAAAAATAAAAATCCGTCTCTACTCAAACAAACCATCCATTCCACTGGGCGGCAGTAAGTACGGGTTTGAAACGATATTGACAACAAGTGAACTAACAAAGAAGAGGTTTGTCAATTGCCAAAGAGTTAGGAAACGTGGCCTTAGCAAAAGAGAACCCAACATAATAGAAACAAGCAATCTTGAAAGACCGCAAATAGCGTACACGACTCCGTTGGGTTGGTGGATAACTTGCAAACATGGCCGATGTTAATCAAGGATCGGTTTTACCAAGCGAAACTTCACCTCCCGTTCTGGACGGACTGAATGCAACCGACTCAAATGGTACCGAAGCTGTCAACGCGACTGTGGCCAAGTTTGTGGCAACACCGGAGGGAACGGCACTGGCATATGGCAGCCTTGTGTTCATGGCTCTGTTGCCCATCTTCTTCGGTGCACTGCGGTCAGTCAGCTGTGGCAAAAGCAAGGTATTGTTAACATGAATGCAATTTACAAGCTAGCTAGGTAGTTTACGCAGCTAACAGTGGGAACCTAGCTAGCTAACTTGGTTCCTGTTAGGCAATAAAGAAAGGATGCAACGATCCTCATTCACCTGTCAGTAGTCTGTCCAGGGTGCAACACTAGCCAGTTGTCACTCACGTTCCACATTCCGTGTTTCTGTTCCACATCCAGACAAGTCTGATGTAGCTAGTCAGCCAGTTATCTAATCATGGCTAAGGTAACTACAATGAATGACTGGCAGGCCTTGACTGGGGCTGTCAATGCGCCAAATGTTAAGCCGATTTGCCTGGTAGTTTACTCTTAGCTAACTAGATTCGTTTATTGTTGATAGTAGCCAATACTATTTTTAATCATGACATTTACCTAGTTGGCAAGATGTTATTCGAATCATTGATTTCAGCCAGGAGGGTGCCACTGCCAAGTCTTGTGCGAGTAGTAGGTGATTGAGAGATGTGTGCAAGGTTCAGTTTTTATAAAAATGTGTTTCTTCTCTAAGGTACCTGGGCTCAATGTATAGTAGGAATATGCTAATCATAGTTTGATTCTCTTAATTACACGTGTCCTTACTGCCATCACTTCTGGTCTTTCAGTCGGTGGGTGGACGGAAACGGATGATGCATGACTTGGTTGTCTGATGACATGACCGATTAGAGAGAACAGGCTTTTTGAGTGACGTGAAACTAAACTAGCTACTTTTCTGTTGGTGTGTTGAACTAACTTGCACTCTACTAACGAGCTTTTCATTTGTGGTTGGTTGCTGCCTCATCCAGAATCTCGGCTGGCGCTTACTATAGATTACTTACTAACGTTATGCTCTTACAATATACTCCGCTAATGACTTTCTGTGCACTTATTTCGTCCTTAGGTTGCTGGAGAAAATGGTTGCGATTATGAGTACAGAGTGAGTATTAGAACTGATACTCAGAACAGTCAGTCGACAGTATTTTCTATTTTAGCTTAACTATTTTTTTTTTTTACTGACACCTCATTGTTCGTGGCAGTCTGGAAGATGGGGGGGCGGGGGGGTGGTGGCGGGGGGGGCTACAGGTTAATAATCAATGAGGATGTGGGTCCGTTTCGTGTACAGGGCAAGTCCCCTGGACCAGAATCACACTGAACAGGGTGGGTGTAAGCTGAAAAGGTTCAAGGACTGTGCTATAGAATAAACTGGCACAGAAGGTGATACATTTAGGCCTCTAGAATATAATATAATAATTTGCCATTTAGCAGACGCTTTTATCCAAAGCGACTTACAGTCATGTGTGCATACATTTTTTACGTATGGGTGGTCCCGGGGATCGAACCCACTACCCAGGCATTACAAGCGCCATGCTCTACCAATTGAGCTACAGAGGACCAATCTACTGGACATGTGGTCTTTAGAGTTGGATGGAATGAATCGCTTGCCCTTTGCAGTCCTGTCTTGTTCCTTGCTGCTCATCGCACCACATTGACCCATTTTTAAATTCTATTCCCTGTGCAGATTTGCTAATTTAATTCAGATAGGCCTATCTCTAGTGGGACATGAACATGTAACCTGCCTGAGTTTGTCATTCACCTAACTACTTATTTTGTGAAGAATTAGTCTGTAATGCGATGAGCCACTAAAGGTTATGACTGTGTTTTTAGAGGCAGGTTGATATTAAATTAAGACATTCTAGTGCTTTCTCTTTTGAAGAGGAACTTTGGCAATGTGCATTGAAACAATTTTTTTTTCTGGATCAAAATGGGGCTGAGGTAGGCCCTCCTGTTGGACGCAGTGACAAAATGTAGCCGTTTTTAAAGCTAATTTCCTGCTATTCTACACACTGGACATAGGCGACCTGTGTAAAAAATAAAATAAATACCCCCAATACTTTTCTGTGCAGAAAAAAACCCTGCATATTGATTCATTTATGTTTTGAAGGAACTTAGGAAGTGCGCTGCTTATGCTCGTCCACTCACAACAACCCTCGTTTCTCTCCCCAGAACTCCTCAGACATGCCAGAGACCATCACAGGTAGAGATGCTGCACGGTTCCCCATCATCGCCAGCTGCACCCTTTTCGGCCTCTATCTCTTCTTCAAAGTGAGTGTCATCACCCCCACCACCTCTCTCTGCGTCACTTGTGTTTTGTCCTGAATCATTTCCTGCAGTATTACAATTGAATAAGCTACTGCTTTCCCCTCCAACAATCTCCCGCATAGCTCTGTACCTCTGCTTTACCATACGATCAGCTGTATCTGCGTTAATCCTTCCTTGCACGCCATGCTCACATCATGCATGCTCTGTCGTTATTGATTCCCCTTTTCAGCTCCCTGAGACTAGTGGTGGGATACTGTATGTTGGGGAGTAGTACTAAATTGGATTTGTTTCAATCATAGATTTTCTCACAAGAGTACATCAACTTGCTGCTGTCAATGTATTTCTTTGTCCTGGGGATTTTGGCACTGTCTCATACAATGAGGTGAGGCTTGTTTGATCACTTTATTAGGTTCTCCTTTCACTTTATATGACATTGATATAGCCTGATTAAACAGTCTCAACATAATTTCTGCCCACCGTCTCTCCATTAGTCCCTTCATGAACAGGATCTTCCCTGCTAACATTCCCATCAAGCAGTACCAGCTGCTCTTCACTCAGGGCTCAGGAGAGACCAAAGAAGGTGAGGATGAAACGGAATGAGAGCTAGAAACAGTAATGTGGTTAATACACTGTAAAAGCACACGTTTAACATCAGTCACTGATGATCCTCCCTCCAACAGAAATAGTCAACTATGAGTTTGACACCAAGGACATGATCTGCCTGGTCATCAGCACTGTGGTTGGGGTTTGGTACGTCCTCAAGAAGGTCAGTTAAAGTTACACTACAGTATATTAATGTAGTGTATTTTGCCTTTTTATGGTGTTGCAATTTTGTTGGTAGTGTAGAGGGTAATGGTGTAAGCTTACAGTTAGTCCTAGATAAAAAGTTGAAGACACCAAATGGTCAGGCTGGAGTTCGTTGCAGAACATTCCCTCAGTTTAATACTCTGTGGTTGTGTTCATCTGAGTTTGTCTTAGAATAATATATGCCATTTAGAAAACTATTTTATCCAACGTGACCTAGTCATGCGTGCATACATTTTATGTTTGGGTTCCTAGTCTTCTGTATGTGTGGGTGTTATGTATGTTCTTCTTTGAACATGTGTTCTTTGGTTCTTCCCAGCACTGGATTGCCAACAACCTCTTTGGCTTGGCGTTTGCCCTGAATGGGGTGGAGCTTCTGCACTTGAACAACATCAGTACTGGCTGCATCCTGCTGGGGGGACTGTTTGTGTATGATGTCTTCTGGGTAAGTCTGCCACCTGACCCCAATACTGTACTACTAGGTTATACACCAGAGGGGGACACTACAACGCAGAATCAATGAGTTATCCAGCTACTTTGATAAACAACCAAAAATAACTTGATGTTCAGGTTCATTAAGAAAGCTAAACTTCTATGTGTTTTTGGTTGTTGGGTCAATTAGACCATGCCAATTTAAAATGTATCTTAAATATCTCTATAGATAGATATATATCCAAATGTTTAGACGAGTTAGCTGGCTAACTCATTGATTCTGCTTTGTAGTAAACCCCTCAGGCCCAGTCAAAGCGTTAAGCTGGGAGGATGAGTCACTTGAATAAACACAACCGTTATCCCTGTAGGTGTTTGGCACCAATGTCATGGTTACCGTGGCCAAGTCGTTCGAGGCACCCATTAAGTGTGAGTAAAGGGACTTTTATTTATTTATTGTGAAGTCAATGCAGTCAATAATTATAGACAGTATTTAATGTGTAACTTTACTTTAATGGGTGCTATGTAAATGTCTGTTAGACATGCACTTCACTTTTTGTTAGACTGCCTGTGAAAAGCTGCATCTATCAAATCAAAGGTGTGTTGACTAAGTGAAATGCTTACCTACGGGCCCGTCCCAACAATGCAGAGAGAAGGAAAATGGAGAAATAATAGAAAAGTAAAACGCGTAATAATATATACACAATGAGTAACGATAACTTGGCTATATACACGGGGTACCAGTCCCGACTTGATGTGCAGGGGTGTGAGGTAATTGAGGTAGATATGTACATATAACTAGGAATAAAGTGACAGATCGTAAACAGTAGCAGCAGCAGCGTATGTGATGCGTAGAAGTTAGTGCAAAAAACGGTAAATGTAGATAGTCTGGGTACCATTTGGTTAACGATTTAGCAGTCTCATGGCTTGTGGTTAGAAGCTGTTCAGGGTCCTGTTGGTTTCTAGACTTGGTGCATCGGTACCGCGCTGGCCAAGAGAAGCATAGAGAAGTCTGACTTGGGTGTCTGGAGTCTGACAATTTTTAGGGCCTTCCTCTGACACCGCCTGGTATAGAGGTCCTGGATGGCAGGGAGCTTGGCCCCAGTGATGTACTGGGCCGTACGCAGTACCCTCTAGCGCCTTGCGTTCGGATGCCAAGCAGTTGCCATACCAAGTGGTGATGCAGCCAGTCAAGATGCTTTCAATGGTGCAGCTGCCCATGCCAAATCTTTTCAGCCTCCTGAGGGGGAAGAGGCGTTGTCGTACCCTCTTCACGACTATGTTGGTGTGTTTGGACCATGATATATCCATAGTGACGTGGACACTGGGAAACTGAAGTTCTCGAACCACTCCACTACAGCCCCGTCGATGTAAATGGGGGCGTGCTAGCCCCTCCGTTTCCTGTGGTACACGATCAACTCCTTTGTCTTGTTTATGTTGTGGGAGAGGTTGTTGTCCTGGCACCACACTGCCAGTTCTCTGACCTACTCCCTATAGGCTGTCTCGTCGTCGGTGATCAGGCCTACCACCGGCGTGTTGTCGGCAAACTTAATGATGGTGTTGGAGTCGTGGGAGAACAGGGAGTACAGGAGGGGACTAAGCAGGCACCCCTGAGGGGTTTCCCTGAGTTGAGGGTCAGTGTGGCGGATGCGTTGTTGCCTACCCTCCCATCAGGAAGTCCAGGATCCAGTTGCAGAGGGAGGTGTTCAGTCCCAGGGTCCTTAGCTTAGTGATGAGCTTGGAGGGCACTATGGTGTTGAACGCTGAGCTGTAGTCAATGAACAGCGTTCTCACATAGGTGTTCCTTTTGTCCAAGTGGGAAAGGGCAGTGTGGAGTGCAATAGAAATTGCATAATCTGTGGATCTATTGGGGCGGCTTGGGTCTGGGATGATGATTGTGTTGATGTGAGTCATGACCAGCCTTTCAACGCATTTGTCTTCAGATGTGAGTGCTACAGGTTGATAGTCATTTAGGCAGGTTACCTTGGCGTTCTTGGGCACAGGGACTATGGTGGTCTGCTTGAAACATGTAGGTATTACAGACTGGGTCAGGGAGAGGTTGAAAATGTCAGTGAAGACACTTGCCAGCTGGTCAGCGCATGCTTGGAGTTCGTGTCCTGGTAATCCGTCCGGCCTTATGAATGTTAACCTGTTTAAAGGTCTTACTGAGATCGGCTACGGAGAGCTTGATCACACAGTCGTCCGGAACAGCTGGTGCTCTCATGCATCGTTCAGTGTTGCTTGCCTCGAAACGAGCATAAAGGCATTTAGCTTATCTAGTCTAGTAGGCTCGCGTCACTGGGCAGCTCGCAGCTGGGTTTCCCTTTGTAACCCGTGATAGTTTGCGAGCCCTGCCACATGCGACAAGCGTCGGCGCCAGTGTAGTAGGATTCGATCATAATCCTGTATTGACGCTTTGCCTGTTTAATGGGGCGGCAGGTAGCTTAGTGGTTAAGATGGTTGTGCCAGTAACCGAAAGGTCGCTGGTTCTAATCCCCAAGCCGACTAGGTGAAAAATCTGTCGACGTGCCCTTGAGCAAGGCACTTTACCCTAATTGCTCCTGTAAGTCGCTCTGGATAAGAGCGTCTGCTAAATGACTAAAATGTAAATGTTAATGTTTTGACAGGTGTAGCAGGATTTCTTATAAGCGTCCGGGTTAGTGTCCCGCTCCTTGAAAGTGGCAGCTCTACCCTTTAGCTCAGTGCGGATGTTGCCTGTAATCCACGGCTTCTGGTTGGGAGATGTATGTACGGTCAATGTGGGGATGACGTCGTCGACACACTTATTAATGAAGCCGGTGACTGATGTGGTAAACTCCTCAATGCCATCGGATGTGTCCCGGAACATATTCTAGTCTGAACATATTCCGTATTGAACGCATCACTGGTACTTCCTATGAGTTTTTGCTTGTAAGCAGGAATCGGGAGGATAGCGTTATGATCAGATTTGTGAAATGGAGGGCGAGGGAGAGCTTTGGATGCGTCTCTGTGTGTGAAGTAAAGGTGATCCAGTTTTTTTTGTTGCCTCTAAATGCACAGGTGACATGCTGGTAGAAATGAGGTAAAACAGATTTCAGTTTTCCTGCATTAAATGACCGTACCGCCACTAGGAGGGCCGCCTCTGGATGAGCATTTTCTTGTTTGCTTATGGCCTTGTACAGCTCGTTGAGTGCGGTCTTAGTAACAGCATCGATTTGTGGCGGTTAACAGATGGCTGCAAAAAATATAGATTAGAAGAAGGTAAATAGTACGGTCTACAGCTTATCCATGAGGTATTCTATCTCGGGCAGGCAGAACCTTGAGACTTCCTTAATATTACAGATTGCGCACCAGCCCTCTTGCGCTTACGGTGGCCTTTATATATTGCTGTCTCTTCCGAGTGTCGGGATTAGAGTCTGGTCCGGGGTGAACAGTTTGTCCTGTGCCGCCAACTCGTTGAAGTAGAAATCTTCATCCAAATTTGAAGTTTGTGATCGCTGCGCTGATGTCCAGAAGCTATTTTTTGTCATAGGAAACACTGGCTGAAACATTCAGTACAAAAAAAAGTTAAGATCAGCGAAAAAATCTGACAAAATAGCAGAATTGGTCAGGAGCCTGTAAAAAAAATGGCCGCTGTGCATTCCAGCGCCATTTTAATAATCATGCCAGTCAGTCACTGTGTCATCACACTGCTTTTGGTCTCTGTAATCGGTTCACATCTGACATATGACACATGATTTTCTTCCTCTTTCTCCTCCTCCTCTTCTCTCAGTGGTGTTTCCCCAGGACCTGCTGGAGAAGGGTCTGGGTGCCAGTCAATTTGCCATGCTGGGCCTGGGAGATATTGTCATTCCAGGCAAGTAAACATTCTCTTCAGTCAACAGTCGTGTCTAATTTTACATACAAGTTGGCTTGACTTGTCCCATCCACTAGATAATGGTAGTACTTCAGCATTAGATCCACCTCCAGTAAAGCTTATTTTCTTCTAATAGCGCTGTCCCCTTTGTTAATGTTAATATTACGTTTTATTTTTCAGGGATCTTCATTGCTTTACTCCTCCGCTTTGATGTCAGGTGAGCTCTAACTCCTCTCTTATATCATGGCCCATGTCCTCCCTACCTGCCATATGTTTAATGTTCTGTCTCTGCTCCCTCCAGTCTGAAGAAGAACACCAGGACCTATTTCTACACCAGCTTCCTGGCCTACATCTTCGGCCTGGGCCTGACCATCTGGGTCATGCACACCTTCAAACACGCCCAGGTGAGAGAGGCTCTGACTCCCAGGTCACCGTTATGTCGACTTGGCTGGTACCAACTGGTTGTCTTGTCTCTCTCTCTCTTCCTTCCCAGCCTGCCTTGCTGTACCTGGTCCCAGCCTGTATTGGATTCCCAGTGGTTGTAGCTCTGTTGAAAGGAGAACTGACTGAAATGTTCAGGTAATAACACCTTCCCTGTTTCCATCATGGCATTTGTTTTTTCAGCCCAGCTCACTCAGGCTCATCACCAGTGGTAGTGAACGTTTAGCCTGTTTCACCATGCAGCACCAGATGGCGATATTGATTGCCTGTCTCGTTTTAGCTTGACATAATATCTGTGCCTCCAAGATCATTCAGCATCGAGACTGTGAGATGCCTCTTTTTTTTTTTTCCACTGTCTTCACCCGTCATACAATTGCTCCTCCAGACTCAAAGATCATTGACATGATTACAATAAATAGATATCATTCCTCTCACCCAGTGCTGCTTGGAGTATTGTGTGTACTGTAAATGCCCCGGTCATGTACCTACTCATCCATACACACACATGCTGGGTCAGGGCCTTGGTCCTCCTAGCTCTGGGGATGTGGAGGGGTGACTGCTGCCTGTTAGCCATAATAACAGTGCTTAGACACCCAGCTGGGGCAACCACCTGCGCAGGGTCTGGGCTGGTGAAGGAGAGGAAACATTCCCCAAACCTCTCCTGACAGAAATGTGTCCTTGCTTCATAATCATCATGGTAACCACAAAGCTGTGACCTTGGGGTGGCACAAAGTATGTGGAGAGAGGGTAAGAGACCTGGGGGTCAAAGCTGGCAGTGCCAAGGCTTCGTGCCAACCTGCCTGGTCAGTGTACTTTGACTTGTTCCTGTCTGTCACACTGCTGGTGTCTCGGACTAGACACACTTTACATTCACTTCTTTACCCTCTCGCCCGCCCATTTTGTTCGTCATGTCTTTCCTGGTCTCCTTAAAATATATTTATGTTATTTTCTGCCCCTCTGACAGGTATGAGGAAGTGTCTGCGGAAGATGCTGCAGCTAAAGAAGACACCTCAGAGGTTAAGAAAAAAGACAAATGACGGCAAAGGTCTTAGAAGCTGGTCCATCACTCTCTAGCACCACATTCACAGCAGCCCACCTCTCTATACACATCCAAGGAGGGTCTTCATGTTTCCCATGAGTCGTGTGCTGTACATGAAAATGGCTGATTTTAATTAAATAACTGTTTTAGCATTGGGGATATTTTGTAGTTTAAGTGGTTTGTAAAACAGCTTTTCGGTGCGTATGTTTCCCTTCTTGTTTTGTATTCATTTCCTTTTTGCATTCTCATATGATATTTCTTGTTTTTATTTCACTTGAAAGGCCAGAATTGTTTTAATCAAAGAAGTTTTACTATTGTTTTGTTTTGGGGGGAATCTTGAGAAATCACAGGAAGCTGAACATTTTTGAAATTGCTCTCGGAGTCTCAGATGTGTTTTTATAAAGATTGTTTAGTTTGGTTTCTGCACCAAGTCTAGTCTTGGTTTCATATAGAAATCCCTTCCTCATCGAGAATGTGAAACATCATAGGACGATGTAAGGGAGGCTAGAGATGAGTCTACGATTGTCATACACATGCTTTATAAGGAACTTCACCTTTGCCACGGTCCTCTGGTCTGGAAGTAAGCCTAAAGACCTACCATTCTCAAGGTATAATTGTGCCAATTTAGTAGTGCATGTAATTACATGTCACCTGACATGTTGGTCAGTGTAACGGTAATAATTGTTCCGAATTCAGATCAGTGCATTAAGGAAGTAACTGAACTTGGGCGATCAAGATATCACATTTTGATATTTGTATGGACATTTGCTATGACACTGCTATTTCTGTGAGTCCTACTCATTCATATCCAATCAGAGGAGTCTGTTATATGGAGATGAATTATTGTAGGAGTTGTCCTGTGCAGTGACTGAGAGGTACCTGCAGGTGGAGACGGTGTCAATTGAACCATGTCTCCTCAGAGAGTGGAGACCCAAGGGACAAAATAATTCCTCTTGCTTTAGGTTGTGATTGTTTTGCTTTGATCATGTATTCTGGCCTTTTGCAGAATGTGGCAGTGCGTTTCAGGCCCAGATAGACGGGGGGGGGGGGGGCTTTTTCGTGTTAGGGATTTAAGATTGAGCAGTTTTGTAGTAATGAGTTTAGGTGAAGTTCATGCCCTGCCTGGTGAAGTTCAGTAACCCTGCTATCATTTCAAATAAATATACTTTTTTTTTTCTCCTATTGTACTTGTGCAAGTCAGAGTTTTATTATGACCCTTTGTTCACGATCTGATATGTCATCTATTTTTATTTGCAATAAATGTTGGTGTATATCACCGTAGAGGAGCATAATCAATGTGTCTATTTCTTTAATCTAGGTGTACTGAGGTTGACACCCACAACTGGGTTATTCTGGTTATTTAGCAGGTGATCATAAATACTGTAGTTATCAGTGAAACACTGCTAAATGACGTAAATGTAAACAAACCAGTTAAGTGCACTCTCAGCTGTAGAAGGGATAGAGCAGAGGGCACCTCATCTAATGGAAGACTAGGGGAAGGAGATTAGGATTATATACATTATCTAGGTTCCAGTGTTGCTTGTAAAACTGCAGCTCTGAGTCTGTTCAGTACACAGCAGGATCGTGGACTTCCTGATGGGTTGACCCCAGATGGTGAGAGTAGGCAACAACACCTACGCCGCGCTGACCCTCAACACGGGGGGGGGGGGGGGCCCCCCAAGGGATGTGTGTTTAGCTCCCTGTTTGCCCACGACCGTGTGGCCACGCACGACTCCAAGTTTGTTGACGACGCGACGGTCAAGGGCACATTAACAGAATTTTCACCTAGTCGGCTCGGGGATTCAAACCACCAGCCTTTCGGTTACTGGCCTAGTGCTCTTAACCGCTAGGCTAGTTTCTGCCCAGACCTGCCGCCCAGACACACCCTACTGATAAACAGAGCTGCTGAGTGATTATTAAAAAAGACAACACGTGTATCTGGTGTCTTGGATAGTGAGGAAGTGTGAAGGAATTACCATGATGTCCCTCCTATAGCAAAGTGTTAGAGGGTACATTGTCTCAAGGAATGTGGGATTTTATGAGTGGTTGTGGATTGCAAAGATGCCACAAGGGGTGTAGTGGTTCACATTGCAACTGAGCCGTGTGGTCTGAGCGAGAGATCGAGTACAGGAGAGGATGCAGAGGAGGAAATGTCTCAGCAGGACCCCAGATTCATCCTTCTGTTTCAATGTGTTAGTCACCCCCCCCCCCCCACATCCTCTAGATAGGTTATTTACACTCTGCACTGTTAACATTGGACAGCAATTCTAGGAATGTTGCCCAGGACTCCTAATGCTTAAGATTAGAAGGAAACTAATACAACGTTTTTGTGTATCGGTCTTTGTGACTCGTGTCAAAACAGTTGACACTGCTGCTAGTTCTGCTGGTACTAAGGGTGATGATGATGAGGATCTATTGTTCTGTTTATCGTCTATATACTCTGTTTACTGTAGCAGCACCATTTCACCAAATCAAAATCTGGGTATATGTAAATGTCCTTGGTGAATAAAGGTGATTCTGATTATACAGTCAAAAGACCCCCTTCCAGTCAATCTGGTGGTGAGTGTCGACAGTCTGGTAGCTAGGTGATACTGATTGAAGAGTCTGAGGTAAAGACCTATTGTCTGCCGTCCAGCCGTTTGCTAATAAAACATGACAACTACATCTGACATTCATCACCTAGGTGTCTGTGAGGGGGGAAGTACTTTATGAATCACAATGATCTCTGTGGACAGACAGGAAGATGAAGATATTACCTGTAGATAGGAAATGGGGATGTATTATCACTGAGGACATAATAAACCCTTTATACCCTATTTCCTCCACCTCAGGCAGGATACAGGATGCTTGAGATATACAATACATAGGCTACTCTCACTGATAGAGGAGTAAAAAGGTCTTATCAGACTTGTCCATGCTGCTTTATTGAGGAAAATGTACTTTAAGATGAATGCACTAACTGTAAGTCGTCCTGGATAAGACCGCCTGCTAAGTGATTAAAATGTAAAATGGTATCCCTTCAGTTAATATCTGACTGGTCCGGTGTGTGTGTGGAGGGGGGGCTTCCTCTGGTGTTCATGGGTTTCTGCCCTGCTGTGTTTGCTGAGTCCCGGGATGCAAACCAGTTCCCAGCATTCACTCTGCACCAACTCCCAGTGTCATGACAACAGGCAAACCGTGTCCCCTGTTCCGGTGTGGTGAGACTGAAGCCACAACAGAGAGGCTAAGAAGAGCAAACAGGCCTGAACGTTGCGGCGGGGAAACATGATCTAAGAACACACACACCTACAGCTACACACTTAGAGAGGAATATAACACTAGCCAGCTGCTGTGACGATGGTGCTGTAGTAGGTCCGCAGCAACAATGCACTATACCGTGTGTGTGTGTGTGTGTTTGTGTGACTTTAGTTTGTAGGGGATAGTTGAATAATGCAGGCAGGATGTTAATGGAGGGGTCAGGTTTCAAAGCTGGAACATCTGCAGATGTTGCTATATCTTCTCCTCTTAGGGGCTCTGTAGTGAAGCTGCTCTGTTTCCAGGCTGTCTTTGTGCTGTGCCCCCCCCCCCCCCACCCCCCCCCCACCCCCCATGCAGGTGTGCTTCTGAGGGGGCCCACTGGAAGGGAGAGGGACCCTACCCTCTGGCCATGTCATGCTCCCTAAAGAAATCCCCCTGTATTAGTCCCAGCCCGTCGTCAGGGTGTTGCCTAGTGACTTGGTCTCTCCCTCTCTTGGTAACCTCATTTTGATCTATTCTGATCCCTCCACCACCATTCAACACCACCCCCAACGGCCCACCCTCCATCACCACCCTCACCGGCCCACCCTCCACCACCACCCCCAACAGCCCACCCTCCACCACCACCCCCACCGGCCCACCCTCCACCACCACCCTCACCGGCCCACCCTCCACCACCACCCCCCACCGGCCCACAATCCACCACCACCCCCACCGGCCCACCCTCCCACCACCATCCCCACCGGCCCACAATCCACCACCACCCCCCACCGGCCCACCCTCCACCACCATCCCCACCGGCCCACAATCCACCACCACCCCCACCGGCCCACCCTCCACCACCACCCCCACCGGCCCACCCTCCACCACCATCCCCACCGGCCCACAATCCACCACCACCCCCACCGGCCCACCCTCCACCACCATCCCCACCGGCCCACAATCCACCACCACCCCCACCGGCCCACCCTCCACCACCACCCCCACCGGTACACCCATGCAACACCACCCCCACCGGCACACCCTCCACCCCCCTGCCCCTAGCTGACCACTGAGAGTAGGGGGGTCATAGGTCACACAGGGGAGGTCTATTAACCCTGTCAAGTGGTAAAGCCATAGTCAATATGCATGCAGCACTGTTCAATTTTTTGACAACATTTTAATTTACAGTTACTGGCTATGTTCAACAGTTCAACAGTCATCCTTTGCAGAAAAATAATAATTTGTGTTTTTAATCTCTGATTTATAGTCCCACATCTGGTGCGTTCAGTAAGAATAAATAACACACTTTTACAATATTTGGAACAGTGTGTGCTTAGTTTTCGCAGCTGGTGGACAGGAGTGAGCCTGGTATGATAGAGGAGAAAAACAGAACGTCAGATCCACCTTTCTCTGATGACTTATGTATGCTCAGAGCAGCCTGACATTGCCATTAGCATGTCATATTTACGTCATCTTTATTATCATTATCAAAAACAGCTGCTACTGAAACGTGTGTGGGGAAGACATTTTGACCGTACATCAGTATCAAGATCCTCCAGACAGCACCACGTCACCTTGCTCACTCTTCAGGACTGGTGGCTAACAACGGTGACAGATATAGGGTCCATGTGGCAGCTGACATCCTCCCAGACCTGGCCTAAATCAGTCTCCTGGCTTGGAGCAGACCAGTCACAGATTCAGGCCTGGAAACAAATTTCCTGTCCGTGTGACGGGTTGGTTCCGTTGGTTGTGACGGGTCACAGAGTGTTCCTCCAACAAGCCTGAGGAGGTCCAACCAGGCCAGACCAGGTCAGGCCAGAACAGGTTCATGGCCCGCTGCTGGGTCACATCATGGCTTCCTGTGGAATCTCCTCCAGCCAGGAGAGAGAGGACACACGTTACCCTGTTAATCAGTTTCAACTGGAGAGAGGAGGGAGAGAGATCGGGGAGAGAGATCGGGGAGAGAGACGGGAGGAAAGAGGGACGGGAGAAAAGAGGGAAAGGGGAAAAGATAGTGAAGGGGGGAAAGAAGAAGAGGGTGAGGGGGTGAAGAGAGAACCATGTGAAATACTTAATTCTGTTCCAACATGTCTCTTTTTCTCACGGAATCGTCAAAGAAATCTCCACAGAAACGGGAGCAGGGGCACAACAACTCCCTCTCCCCTGCACCCCCACTGTCAAGCACACACACCATCCCCTCTCTCTCTTTCACTCTCTTACAGGAAATGCTATGATGTAATTGGTGAACATTTGCCTCTTTATGTCTTGTGACCCAATTCTGTTTACCAAAATGTGTCCTCTTAGTCAAGGGGATTAGCCAGAGAGAGCCTCTGAGACGCCAGGGGCTTCCGTTTCATTTGACTGTAGCCAAAACAGAAACTAAGGACAGGAAAGAGAGAGAGAGAGGAGATGAGAGAGAGGAGAAGAGAGCGAGAGAGGAGAGGAGATGAGAAAGAGAGAGGGGAGAAGAGAGAGAGAGAGAGAGAGAGAGAGAGAGAGAGAGAGAGAGAGAGAGAGAGAGAGATAGAGAGGCAGAGAAAAAAAAAGTCTATATAAGCATGAAGAGGGGAGTAAAGTGAAAGAAGAAAAGCATAATTGAGAATGCAGAGAGGAAGCTGAATGAATAGATATCCCACATTGTACATCTTAGTCCATCTTAAAGCCTATCCCTCATAGCCTCCCGAGTGGCGCAGTGGTCTAAGGCACTGCATCGCAGTGCTAGCTGTGCCACTAGAGATCCTGGTTCGAATCCAGGCTCTGTCGTAGCCGGCTGCGACCGGGAGACCCATGGGGCGGCGCATAATTGGCCCTGCGTTGTCCAGGGTAGGGGAGGGAATGGCCGGCAGGGATGTAGCTCAGTTGGTAGAGCATGGCGTTTGCAACGCCAGGGTTGTGGGTTCAATTCCCATGGGGGGCCAGTATGAAAAATAAAATAATGTATGCACTCACTAACTGTAAGTCGCTCTGGATAAGAGCGTCTGCTAAATGATGTAAATGTAATAACATTTACATTACAGTAGGGAAACAGCTTTCAACAGGTTCCAACTACCTCTACAAGACCCCTAGTGTC